TGCTCTTCCAAGCTTTATAATGGCATGGGTGGGTGTTTTTGTTCAGCAGTCCAAAAGTAGTCAAATAAAGCGCATCCATCCATATTTAAAAGTGCCTCACACGGCTCCGGGGGGTGAATAAAGGCCTCCTGCAGCAAACCGATGCGTCTAAAGCTTGGAAAAGCAAGGAAAATTTTTAATATAACTCCAATTGGATTTGTCTGAAAGAAGGAAGTCCTATACACCTCGGATGCCTTGAGGTTAATTAAACGTGGACTGATTTTAATTTTTGGGTGAACCTAACCCTTTAATGTTTCTTAGATCTTGGCTCGTGACTTCCTGGAGGAATATATCTTCTTGGCTGTGGGCAGGGTTGGTTCCACCTCAGAGAATATCACCCAGAAGGTGGTGTGGGTTGAGGAAAATGACAAGAGGTCCTTCCTGCTCGACTTGCTCAATGCCACAGGTACATATGCCTGTAAATGGCCTCTGAACACCTTCATCTGATTTGTCTTTGCAGTCGTTTCAGTATGATCTTGATGGCAGATTGCTCTTCCATGTTTGAGGAGATTAAATTAGCTTGTTTTGTGAGCGGACTAAACTAATCTTTAGGTTGAAGTCACTCTTTGAGAACTTTTGAGGTTGAGTACAATGGGAACGGTGAGTCTTTAATTGTCACAGTGGTTCTCTAAACACCAGAAATATTAAATTCAGTGAGCTACAGATACAGAAAATTATGAATTGCATGCATGCTCCGCCAGCACCTGAAAGCAGAGCTCCATCTGAACCCATGTAAAACTTAACAAGACTGAAACTGATATTTGTTGAAGCTCATCATAAGGTCTGGTTTTATTCAGTCATTCCGAATGAGGTTCAGGACAGTACGGGGGAGAACGTAGAAAAACCTGGTGAGTAGAGACGTTTATCTGTCCACTGGAAGTGGAACGAATGTAAGTCTCATCTCACGTCTTCATTTTGCTTGAACATTGTTTGTTTTCCAACCCCTCCCTTCCCATGTCAAATGAGCTCTAGTTCTCATGCTGTCAGGATCTTGACCTTAATTTATTGTTTTTTCTTTCCCTCCCTGATATTTCTTTGGAAGTAGTCATGCTCCTTTTCAGTGGTTCTTTCCTGCGGTTGGATCTGTGCATGAAGTGGCATGTAACCAATGCCATGTTGAATTGTAAAGCCATAAGACTGCTG